ATACCAGAGAGAGAGATGCTTCCGTAGTGTGCATAGACCAACAGAGAAGTGAACAGCAACACTTATCTTGCCTCACACATAAATGTCGTTTTCTCGGTGCCCATGGGCTGGTGTACCCTTCGGGCTCAGGGAACATAAACAAACATCGAGGGTATATCAGCCCATGTCCTCCTCGAGACCAGTAAACAACTTATAATATATTCTCCGGTACATTCAACGTCTCTCGCCCGAATAAACACTTTCTGACAAGTCAACAACTATTTTTTAAATATAAGAATTTTAGGTTTGACTCCACTATCAATAAGTTTCGATTATCAGTCATTTTGTAGGATAGTTTGTCCGTCACCCACTGTGCTTTACAAATTAGGACAGGATTTATCTCCTTACACGTAATAAAGGAAAGACTTGAATCGCTGGATGTTATTGAAAACCTCTTGTGCAGCTTTTATGGCTTTCTTATATTAAATATTTGATGAAAAGAGAAAATATTGACGGACTGTACACATCCTTGGCGCACAATGTCCAAGACAACACACAATACACCTTTGTCTTGTACAGATGTTTTATCAGGGATGATCACATGCCAGCGAGGATCAGTGTATGACAACAAAGCACACCCAGCACAGACAGACAAGGAGCCCAGCGTGAATAACCAGCAGCACCACAACCATCAGTAATACCACATTAATCATGACGCCAGTCGTCTTCTTTTTGCATTAATCACAACAGAGGAGTATGACATCAAAATCGCAATACTTTATGCAGAAATGATATTCATGAGCTTGAATAAATTATGTCATTAATCCCTTGAATTCTGTTCTGATTAGTGGTATTTATGGTGGTATTTGGGTTACGGTTGCGCCGACCACAAACAAAAATCAATGAAATAGAAACAATAGTATTCTTATTGGTTTGCTTATAAAAGCTGAACCAGGAAAAGAAAGTTAGTTATAGAATACACCACAAATATACAAACACAAATTGTTCTCATGGCTGATGTGCTCTTTGGGACCAATGAAACGTGCACACGGTTTGTGACAGGCCAGTTCTATTTATAGCTGTACTTATAGAGGAGACGCGCTTCTTCCACTGTTGTGAAAGGCCATATGTTCGACACTGGAAATATTTACTGTATGTTCTTTAGTATAGTGTACACATCCTTAGAGGAAGTGCAGTAGTTTGGAGAGAGAAAAGATGTTTCGAGTTTCACTGGCAGTTAATACCCACATCGTACCACCTCATTTGGTTGTTTCGCTAGGCATTGTTTCACGCAGAGCTGAAAACTGCAGTGTGTATTTCCTCGAAAACAGAGCCATTTTCGAGCTCTCATTGTTGACATTTCACAACTCTTGGCGGATAATCGAACATGCTATCCCTTCCAAGGTTTCATGCAAGACGTGATCAAAAGTTGTAATTTTTGTTGATGACAGGGGCCATCGGTGGGGCAGAACACTATTTGATAATGATTTATTAACACAGCACCATGATATAGTCGGAATCGTACAATTGTTTTGTTGTACAAGAAATGCATCCATTGCCTTAACCATTATCGATTCCTAGTATATCTGAAACTGTCGTGTGTGTACAGATTTACATCGAGGAAATGAACTCACATTTCCTTAATCATTCCAGACTTTAATCCTTTTATATCGTATTCTTTTTTATCAGGAGCATTGTTGTGATGTTATTATAGAAACGGATTTAATCTGCCCGAGGAGCTGGTCGTCCCATCTGTAGGTGTTGAACATTTGTTTCTGGTATATACTTTCCATACAGAGTCGGTGATATAAACCTAGAGTCATCCAGTGATGGGGACCCGCGAGTATACGGGTTCGAACTGTCTTCAGCAGCCCAGAAGCGACTAACAGAATCGGGTGGTCAGGCTGGCTGACTATGTTGACACATGTCTTGGTAGATCGATACTCTTGATGACAGTCACTGGATTGTCTGCACCAGACTAGATTGTTTACAGACCCCTGTCATATAGCTGGAATATTGCTGACTACGCCGTTAACAAACAAGTACAGTCCAGTGATGTAGAACTCCATCAACAGAACATGCTTGCGGTTTGCTGCTATGCGGAATCAACGAAATAGGAAACAGGGGTGTGGTGGCAAAAGATGTGATGACGTGCTGCCCGGATGAATGATTCAGAGACTCCCAATTCGGCTAAGTGAGGGACACTGACAGCTGCGCTTTGGTTGTCCCAGTGGTCCTGCCCATATCATCACAGGTCCCACCCCCTCCCACCTAAATACCCATCCCCTTAAATCTATCATGCTGTTGACGTTGCACGACGTCCGTTACGACGCGTCCATGTACTTTACTCGCTGCGCAGTAGACAGTAAACTCAAACATGACCATTCTTGAAAATCATTTCTACTTCCAAGAAAGCTGGAATTCGAATTTCTCGACAAAATTGATAAAGCCAAATAGGCACCAGAGTCAGACCCCCGGTGGCTCCTCAACACATGTAGCTGGTATGGAAAGCTGGAGACGAGGGATTGATTAACATGGAACCATTTACTGTCGTTGTCCCGGCTCATGGTAGACGTATCACGCACGCTATTGACGGATAGTTCAGTTTTACACATTCTATGTAACCACTACAATCTCTGACAACTGGGGAGGGGTCGATCGGGCAAGGGACGAAACGGTCGTTTTGTTGTGTAGCCACTCAATAAAAAACCTAATATGAATTAGAAATACATAGCCATGTTCATTGTTTTAGATGATTCTGAAGTACAAGATTGGGAGCCTTTTAGATTGAGAGACAAGGCTAGTCTGAAAATTCTTGGCTTATTCCGGAATAATCCAGTGCAGTCTGTCGACTGATCCAGGGAGTTAGAACAGGTTCTGGAAGCGTTTCATACACCAAGGAGTCATGCCTCAGTCATCTCACATTTCATTAATTTTCATTTTGCAAGAAGACCGCAAGTTGTTCGAAGGTCACAGTTCGACCACAATCCGCTGTCTTTGTCGATTAGGGAAGTGTGATCGCTGGTGCAGCAAGGTGAATATTGCCATCACTGTATTTATTGCTACAACCACGGCTTTCACGTTCTATTGCCATTGGATTTGTTCTGCCATTAAATTTGTATTGCCACTCGTTTTTGTGCTGCTATTGCAGTTTCATTGTTAACACCTGTATTGATCTATAATTTAAACTTAGTTAAATTCAGAAAACAATTGTTAACTAAATCACATTTCACACGGAATTGTTTTACGAACTGATTTCCAATTAAATTATTTGTTTTATTTGTATTAAACACATAACAACAGGAAGTAGTATTACATCGTTCCGGCATCACTGGCTGGATCTTTCTTCTTGCTGAAGGGACGGTGGAGTAGCTTAGTGGCAAAAGCTCTCGTCCGTCACGCTGAAGACCCGGGTTCGATTCCACACATGGGTACAATGTATGAGGCCATTTCTGGTGTCCACCGCCGTGATATTGCAAGATATTGCTAAAACAGGCTGAAAACCATACTCACTCACTCACTCACTCACTCACTCACTCACTCACTCACTCACTCACTCACTCTTCCTGCTGAAACACTGGTGGTAGTGTTTGATTTATCAATCTTTACTTTTGATGCAATGTCTGGATATAATATTGGAAAATACCGAAATGTAATTATATAACAATGGCGTGTAAACTACAAGTTACAAGGGTGTACTTTAGAAAACATTTATACAATAGAACATTGATATTAGCGTGGATCTATTAAAACGCTGCACTACATATAATGCACTAAGCAGCCAAGATTGATGTGGGAGATATCATTGAATTTCAGCAAAGGTTAGCCCCAAATCCGATTCCTATTGCAACAATTTTGACTAAAATCGGAACTTTCAATACATTCACTGGAAAATATTCATCTTTACATGATTTCAGAAACATGTCGTTATTATTACGACGGAATATAAACTTGTCCACCCCAATCGATATTTGAGTACGGTGGTTCAATGCTCCAAACACAATTAATCGTTTTTGATCAATTTTGCAACTGACATATTGGAGATGTTTTGTTGTATTGTTATCGCTGTCGGTGGGAAGTACAGTCAGTTGTTAATGTGTGACCTTCATCTTCAAACTGCTTCACTGTGTCAACGCATGGTATATGGTCGACTGGGGAACCAGCTCATAGTTATACGTACACTCCGTTGACAAAGACGAATGATAGGTTGAGTTCAAACTTAGTTGGTTACACAAGACATGACATAAACAAGTATACATGGATGAGGTGAGCGGAGTTCCGGCTCAACCCCAAGGCGTTTCCTACTAGCGGCATTATCCTGCTCGTGGTCGTCCCTACACAGACAGTCGGAATACCGGACTCCTTGACAATATAGATGTGAGCATATATAGATGGTCAGGCGACGACTCAACAATGGACAGATAGAGAAACAATAGCTCATCCTTGAACCAGTTGATGTGATGCCAGACAAGGTCAAGGGGGATGACCAATTAAGACTATAAATGTCTCATACAGTACGACTCGTAATTAATGAAAGTGGCAGAATGGTACAGGGTGGCTGCACTGCGGTAGTAACAAGGATTAAGAATGCAGATAAAATACTTCCAATTAAGTCTCACGTGGCTTGGCTACACATGTTTGGGTATTTAGAAATATTTGGACGATGGTTGTCCTGAATTAGACGTTATAACAACTGTTTCAGCAGATTTATCAAAACGTTTGACTAGTATCAGCACTGGTTTTCGGATATGTGTTCGTAATGCTATGGCTGTCGCTACCGTTATGACGTTTGCTCTCGGATGGGTCTGTCAGGAAGGAATAGGAGATGGTTTATCAATGGTTTGGGCATTTTCTGTTGAGAGGCTGTGGCAGTATAAACTGCTCCCACTTTGTGTGACGTCTTTGATGGATGAACCTGCATAGAGTTACGTCCCCTTGATCACGCATGCAGTGTTGCTAACTTCTCACATATATTCTTGTCTATGTTTGTATATTTCAGTAAAGATATGTACGTGTTGCAGATGGTGAGGAACACAATAGCCCTGTTCATATCAGCTGTTGCATGTAAGTAGTCTGTATGATGTAAGTGTGAACGGTTTCACGTGTTAATGTCTATTCAAAACCATTTTATGGGTAGATAGTGGTAATTCATAGTGCGAATTATGTTCTGTTAATGCCATTGTATCGTATCCTGTTAAAATCATGCTCGCTGACAGGTTCATTGCCTGTCATATTTCAAATACCGCAGATCAATGCTCATGATATTAATCATTGGACTTCTGCTCCAGAGGCGATTATTTAGGTGGAATATTGCAATGTGCCGTGTTACACAACAACTATGTATGAAGTTGGGACATGAGCTGGGTTTCATTGTAAACTGTAAAACGACACCCACATCGTCTACAACAAATGAAAGCTGCTTATTCCTGCAGGCAGTACAACTTGGAACACTGTTGGATAGATATCAGTGTCTCTCATTCTGCGGTGCCTCACCAGACAACATACACATCTGCCAAATGGTCTTCTCATTTTTCTACCGAATGCCTTCTGGAACAATGTTGCAACACAGAATTACCCCCATAAATATCATATTCCACAATTATGTCCAATTTGTAACGTTTTGTAGCCCCTAAACGTTTACAAACCACATATTTCATTGTATCCATTTATTTACATAATTGAATCACTAGATTCATGTACATAACATATTACGTTATTGAAACCGTAGATGTGTTCTTTTAAATATTGCGAAACTGACGTTTTTAATCGTGAGAAACACAGGCGAGGATGTTCGTGTTTGACTGCATCCTCTTGCACTGAAACCATCACTACGACCCAACCTCGTGAACATAACGAGGAAACCAATTCCTCGCTGAGCTCCAGATTTGTCGTTTGACAGACAATCTATGAATTTAGCTCAGTTCAGGCATCTATTACACATAACCTTTCAAGTTGTGTTGGTTGGGTGTTTAACACCGCCAGACCAGATCAGACAATCCAGTGATTAATATCATGAGCATCGATCTACGCTATTGGTATACGGTGACATGTGTCAACCAAGTCAGCGAGACTGACCATCCGATATCCCGTCAGTCGCCTCTTACGACAAGCAAGAGTTGTTGAAGACCAGTTCTAAGGAATTGGCTAGTTGTTCGTTGATTACTGAACAATTTTAATTGCCATGGTCCATGGGTTTATGGACAACATATCTCCCGCACCGTTTATCGTGTTGGTACGATTTGACGTCCTGTATTTAAGGTAGATATACTAGATTGCGATGACATTGTGACTGACTTGATTAAGTCTGACTGACTGAGTTTGGTTTTACGCCGCTTTTAGCAATATTCCAGCAATATCACGGCGGGGGACACCAGAAATGGGCTTCACACATTGTACCCATGTGGGGATTCGAACCCGGGTCTTCGGCGTGACGAGCCAAAGCTTTAACCACTAGGCTACCCCACAGCCCCTTGATTAAGTATTTGCATATTCGTATTACTGAGGTGTGTCAGAAAACTATGATCGTGTGTTCGAATCCCGCTTATGTGTCTAGGTTTGTCTATACCACCCCCGTGCTCTTCCTTGGTTACAGCCACGTGGTACAAACCTTCACGTCTATAGTAGGCTGACACGCCTTCACATAAAGTACACAGGGGTTTTAAACCTCACTCACTCACTCATTGGAATTTCAGGGGTGCAGAGCGACAGTCTGATGGGCAAACACTACTACATGTATCAGGACTTTAGGACATGGAACGAAGCACGGACAATATGCGAGGACATTGGAGGACGCCTGGCCCAGATAGACAATCAGCAAACACTGGATGGTCTTCTTGCCTATGCTAAGACTAATCAATGGAAGGACGTCGTGTACGACAATTAACCTATTTTTGATAAACTACATGCACACGACTTCTGGTTATGCTTCCAATTTTTTTAATTGCATCACATAGTATATCATTATTATTAATGCAAACTATCTTATTATCAAAATCTTTGAATGTGAAATACATTAGCGATTAATGCTGATTTCTCTGTTGATAAAGTGTTAACTGTTTGTTCCTTGAATCACAGGGGCTTGTAATGCAAAGATATATATAGTGCCACTGACGGGGTTAAAATACTGTATACAAAGGAATGGTTGTGACGAGGTCTCTTAACAAAGGATCATGTGTTACTTGATTACAGAATAAGAAAAATGGGCACTCTAAGTTAGCATCGGTCGGTACAGTACTCTCTCTCTCTCTCTCTCTCTCTCTCTCTCTCTCTCTCTCTCTCTCTCTCTCTCTCTCTCTCTCTCTCTCTCTCTCTCTCTCTCTCTCTCTCTCTCTCTCTCTCTCTCTCTCTCTCTCTCTCTCTCTCTCTCTCTCTCTCTCTCTCTCTCTCTCTCTCTCTCTCTCTCTCTCTCTCTCTCTCTCTCTCTCTCTCTCTCTCTGTAGTTGTCTAGACAATACTTAATGTGTTCATTTATCCATCCACTAGTGAGGTTAGAGCTATTTATCCCGTGCCATCATATCATGATTGTGTACATTGTGTCTGTTCATCTGTGACTCAAGGCTTGGACATTTCTGGATTGGACTGAACCGAGTGGATCAAGAACAAGGTTACCGCTGGGATCACTGTGAGGGTTTGGATCATCCGTCCTTTACATTCTGGGACGCCTCCAATTCCCAGGACGCCACCAAACATTGTGTGTATGCAGAAAGGGACACCTTGAGGTGGTTCAACGAAGTCTGTGACAGTAGCAGCTACCAGTATCTGTGCCAGAAGGAGGGAGGTAAGTAACCGGAAACCAGGGCTTCACGAAGTAAGGTTGTGACCGTACACTAACATTAACCTTAGATAGTGAGTCGCTGGGCCTCATGACAGGAATCTAATTTACATTAACATGGAATAACTTCGTTAGTTTTTGACATCAGCATATTCTTACATTGTAACGCCAAACCGGTTTACATCAACAGTATCGCCAAATCGCTTTTCATCAGCACTGACTGACACAAAATTACTCTTCATCAGCACAGAGTAACGCCAAATCGCTGTACATCAACACTGAGTAACACAAAACCACTTTTCATCAACACTGACTACCACCAAAACGTTTTAACGTATTTACCTACACTGACTTACCTCGAAACCCCTTGGACCAAGTTTTGATCTTTTACGTATAAACTGCTTCGGTTTGTTCTACGTCATACTGAATACTGAAGCATTTCCTCGTGGTAGCTTAAGAAGCACTTGATGCGCCTTTGTGTTTGTTGGTTCCAGGTCCTTGTACATACACAGAGTTCAGTGGGGCGTGTTTGGGGTCCGGCCATGACGAGACTTCTGTCGTTGCTGATGTTGATGTCGCTCAATGTGAAGACTTGTGTAGTAGCACACTAGAAGATGAGCTAGCATGTTGGATGTACAGCTACGAAAGTCCCAACTGTACGCTGTATTTCGACGACAACCCGTGGGCATGTTCAAAACCGCCAACAAACACTACAGCCAAGACACGGGCCTGCTTCACATGTATGTATCATTGCTCACTTTGCTATCTCCATATCATATACTCGTTGGAGAGTGCTGGGTCTCCCCCTTCTGCTCAATCTGAGATATGTCATGTTTTTGTTTTCTTCACAATTCCGAAACAAACGCTTGATTAGTCTGTGAACATGGTCAGGCACCATTGGCGTTCTTGGCGTTGCCTTCGCCCACCCCCATTGCCTTCTGTGGTACACTGTCTGGGCCACAACCTTCCCCAGACGTCTTGGTTTCAGGCGCTCTGTAAGCACGGATGTTAAATTCGCCTTCCCCATATGATAGGGAATTATCTTGATAATCTTGATCGTTCTGCTTGACCTGTGGCGTCAAGGTCGCCATGCAACCCCACTTGGTTGACGGTACTTGTCTAACAATCGAGAAATTACACTTGTTGAATTTGTTAGTTTGTTGATATCCATGCCTCTATGTTATTACTGTGGTGCACTTCAATATCGTCTGTGTATTCTCGTTTCTGTCGACAGTTCAATCATTGACCTCGTCCTCAAGCGTCAGCGACTCCAACTCTAAACCAAATATCAACTGCGACTTATACACAACCCAAGCTTCAGATACTTCAACATCAAGGACAACCTCACCTCCTACCACAGCAACTAGCCCCACTACCCCGGACACTGCGAGCGTCACCATGGCAACTGATGCCACCGCCAAGGACATTGCAAGCATCACCATGGCAACTGACGCCTCCACTAAGGACACTGCAAGTATCACCAAGGCAATTGATCCCACTATTCCGGACTCTGAAAGCGGCTCCATGGCAACGGATGCCACTACCCTGGACACTGCAAGTACCACCATGGCAACTCTTAACACTACCCTAGACTCTGCAAGCGTTACTATGGCAGCTGATGCTACACCCCAAGACACGTTAAATATCACCGTGGCAACTACACCAGCAAGCACGCCTACCACTGTTATTACCACACAAGCGTCGTTGTCCACAGCAACGCTCATCGCACCCTCCACTACACAAAATGTAACAACTTCATCCACGTCATCTTCACAAACGACCATTCGTTCAACAACTGCCACTACGACTTTCGGTGGAAGTAAGTCGAAATTACATCAGCAGATAATCAATATATTCATGTAAATTATACCTAAAATACTTTCATCTTTACGATAATCTGACATCAGAATTCATGTCCTTCAAACCATAAACATCCAGCATGTAACACAGGGGGCTTTCACAACATTTACTTTTGTCTTTTGAAATCCTTTCTATTTTAGTTCTCAGATATGATGATGTGTAAATAGAAATGTGGTATGATCATATGCTTTCAGATTCCTCTGGAAACAGCGACACTTGTCCCTGTTTGGTCTGCGTTGTGGCAAAAAATACGACAGAGATACAGAATATTGTGGACGCAATTTTACGGCTCCTGAAAATGGACAAGTCGAAGCTGTCAGCCACCAGGAGGAAACTGAATTCAGAACCTGACGACAGACCCTCAGCACAGGCCTTTGGCTACTCGGGAATACTCTTCATCGTCATCACAGTCAGTTTCTTTGTCCTTGTTGATCTGATACGACTCTGTCAGTATATCGCTGACACAAAGGTGGGCAAGACTGATGAAGGACAGCGATGAGTGGAGAGTTAAACCGCAAGCTCAACACTTTGTAGATTGAGAGTCGATGATGAGGTAACTGACTAGATGACGTGCCTCCTGAATTTTTTTGCGTCTGCCCTGCAGGGACGGATCGAACGGTTAGGAAAGTCTGACAATTACCAGACATGAAATCTTACCTCATCCTCAATAATCTCCAGGGTATACGTTCCGATAAATCTCCACTAGTACCCCGATACTTGTATTGGTGTCTCCCCATTAGTTGGACACTTGAAAAACGCCAATTACATGGTCGAGTAGACAAACTTGGAAAGGCTGTTACCCATTGGGGAAAAGGACTTATCCAACTGTTACACCATTAGTCAGACATAATGAGACAATTGAGATTTGAGACCAGTTTAATTATCTTATAGCATCTTTTGTCATTTTCATAATATTTGTTACTTTTGCACAATATCACATGCATATAAGTAAAATTGTCACATTTTCTAGCACTACTGGCACAGTATTGAGTTACAAAGTCAAATTCAGTCAAGCTTCACAAGCTTTCCAACAGCATCCAAATACTGCATTGGAGTCTTGCTTCCTTGCTCCAACTGCTCTCTACATCGGCCAAGTCAGTGGTTGATCTCCCTGTAAACCTTCTTCTGTGGTGGAGGAACTGCACCGAAGTCGATCTGGTCAATCTTCAACTTTGTCGGCCTTCTCTATTTTCTTGAGAATCTCGATCAGTCTGACGAGTCGGGTGACGACTCGAGAGGCTGACATTCAGACGGCTGTTAAATCCCTGAGGGCAGTTGTTGGTCCTCGGGCCGAAGGTCTCATGATGGTTCCACAAGGTCAGTCTGCCTCAACAGAGAATCATCATCCATGGTGAGGAACTGTCTCCAACAGTTGTGCACGTCCCTGTATATGTCTTTACAGTGTACGCAAGTCGTCCTCGTCTTGTTTTTGTGGTATACATAGCGATCAAAGAGCACCTGAATCGTGCCTCTCTGCGATGTGATGAACTCTATTTTCTCTAAACCTGCCATTAATGTGCAGTACAGACATTTTGGGAAACACATATACATTGTCAGGTAAACACATATACATTGTCAGGTAAACACATATACATTGTCAGGTAAACACATATACATTGTCAGGTAAACACATATACATTGTCAAGTAAACACATATACATTGTCAAGTAAACACATATACATTGTCAAGTAAACACATATACATTGTCAGGTAAACACATATACATTGTCAGGTAAACACATATACATTGTCAGGTAAACACATATACATTGTCAAGTAAACACATATACATTGTCAGGTAAACACATATACATTGTCAGGTAAACACATATACATTGTCAGGTAAACACATATACATTGTCAGGTAAACACATATACATTGTCAGGTAAACACATATACATTGTTAGGTAAACACATATACATTGTCAGGTAAACACATCCGACCTGAGTTGAGAAGTCAGTCTCAAGTTGCTTTTTATATGTTCTATTGGTTTAGTCACAATAATAATTAAGCCACACTATTAACTATGCACAAGAAGACTCTTAATATACTGAACATCATTGAAAACGCACCACTTATAAAAGTTCATATTATTAAAAGCACGTGTAAGAAACTGATAGTTTTTGAGTGGATAATAACAGATGGACGACTGACAAAAACAACAACACAGAAAAGACGCTCATTCATTGAAATGTCCCACAGTCAGAAAGGATCAAACACACGTTGGGTCAAATCGAAAAGTCAGTATCACGTGTGACCGCCATTTGCATTGACACATGCAGTTCAACGTCTCCTCATTGAGTCAATAAACGTCCGAATAGAGTTCTTGAGGATGGCCTTCCACTTCTGCAGCAGTGCAGCCTCAAGTTCCCGGATTTTTCGCATCTGTTGTCGCCGCGAAAGACTTTGACCAATTTCGTCCAACAAGTGCTCCATGGGAGATACATCTGGCGACTGTGCTGGCCGATGAATAACCTGGATGTGTTGCTGGGCCAGATATTTCATGGAAAGTCTTGTTATGTGTGCCCGTGCGTTATCCTGTTGAAAAGTAGGGACATCTTGTTGGTGATTGAAGACAGATACGATGTGATTCTGAAGAATCTGCTCACGGTAATAAAGGGCATTAACACTCCCAACAGAGCGTCCTGTGATTTAATTTATTCCACCCCTGACCATGACACTCCCACCACCCAAATGTCTGTCTGAACCACACACTCATCAGCATAACGTTCACCACGTCTACGTCAAACACGTAATCGGCCGTCAGCATTACGTAGATGAAGACGTGACTCGTCAGTGACTACCACACCATGCCATTGTTGTAACCTTTACTGAAAATGCCTGCTAGCCCATTGTATACGCTCATGACGGTGTCTGTCAGTCAGAATTGGTCCAACGTAAGGACGTCGAGCATGGAGCCCTGTGGCGTGTAGACGGCGTCGCATGGAGTCAGCGCTGATGACCCCCACGTCAACCTTGAACTAGTGCAGCAGTCCTGGCAGTCGGTAGTGCTCAATCACTGATATGGCCAAGGTCAATATGGCGATCCTGATGAAGCGTCGTAACACGTTGTTGCCAAGGTCATTGAAGGTCACGGCTGCTGCGTGTCTACTGATGTCGTCTATGAAGCCTAACGGTGGTGGAGTGGCCACATCAAAGTTGTCGAGCAATATCCCTGCTGCTGGTGCCAACCTGAATCATGCCTAGTGCACATGCTCTTTCATCTCTGTCCTCGTTTCACAATCGTTAGTGAAGCAATGAGAATCGGTTCTCATACACCAGCTTTTAATGTCACAGTCAGTATGATTTCAGAATGAAATTCGCGCTTTTTTCATGGCGTGGCTGCATGTTGATGCATTTTGGAATTAAGAGTCATACTGTGGACACGAATTTGTTTCTAAACACTTTTTTTTAACTGGCATGCCCTTCGACTTCATGTTAGTTGTATTCATTTATCATTGTCATGCTGAAATCCATCTTGATGAAAACAAATAAAATTTTAGACTGGTGCGTTTTCAATGATGCTCAGTATATTATATGAGTAAATCAATCAAAAGGGATTAAACTTTAACAGTCAAGACTGACCTATGGTCTTATTGTGCAAGAGATAAGCCACTTAGATAAGGCTTATAATGTCATTATTCAAAGCAAACACTGTGTTATGCTAGTCACTTGATCCTAAAAGACAGGGGATATACTAATTAGGACTAATATATTGTTACTGTAGGGGTGAGCCTTCTCCACCTTCACTCAAGTGTCTGACAACTGGGGTGTCTGACTAATGGGGTATCACTCTTGTAGTACCTCCCTTTGCTGGCTTTTTATCCAATCAGGTGTTTTCGCTGGGAAGTTGAGCGAACCAATCACAAGGCTTATAACTCACTCCCGATTCGTCGGTAAACAGTGATGTTGAGAGGTCGAATGAGTTCTTGCACATATGTGTTTTAAGGTTTCGCACAGCGGTCAAACCTTCTCGGCTGCGGCCGCCATCTTGTTGACACTCGCAAGCTCGGTTGTATCGGCTCATCTGATTGGCTACTGTGAGAAGGCGGAGCCAGCAAATGGAGATAACACAATTATCCTAACGTTACCAATTAACGAGTGATATGGTAGACAGGCAACTTGCAGTACTATAGTCTATTTACAGAGTTGTTTGTTTCTGTGTCTGCGTCTGCGTCTGTGTCTGTGCCTGTGTCTGTGTCTGTGTGTGTGTCTCTCTCTTTCTCTCTCCATTCTTTCTCACCGCCTCCGTGGTGAAATGGTTAGAGCGTCCGCCCAGAGAGCGGATGGTCGCGGGTTCTTTCCCGGGCCGCGTCATACCAAATGACGTTAAGATATGGTACTTGTTGCTCTCTGCCTGGCGCTCGACATTAATGGGTAAAACAAGGACTGGTCGGCTCGGAGTCAGTATAATGTGTCTGAGTGGGGTATTCATGCCTAACTGCGGCATGGTATCTCAGTGAGATAGCACTATACAGCCAGCTTAAGTCTGGGCTAGTACAAGCAGCCGGTATAAGGAGCCACACATACACACGCATGCACGTCGTCAAAATATTCTTAAGTCCGACGTTAAACCACATTTCACCTCATCTCTGTGTCTCTGTCTCTCTCAATAGTCAAATTGTTCATTTATTTTTCCACGAATTCAAAGAGAGTGTTGTATTGTATCTTGTTGCCATTTACAGTTAAGGGAAATGAGTGTAGCTTCTTGTGAGTAAATATACCAAATGTGCTGCAACTCAACACTGATTGGTTCCATCATTGGGCTTATGTTTTTGGCAAGTTATGAGGTCGAAGGTCACATAACCACGTGTTTTTTTTATCATACAGTCTCGAAAGGTAGTGTTTTGTCTTTTGTCATGGTTTGTGTTATCTGTTGAGTATTTTCTTGTTTGGGTAACTCTGAAGTCTAGGAATCCTTTTAGGGTCAGGATAAGATCAGGGTTGATAAGGTAGCCTGATCTGTATTGTATGTGGCAACTACAACTGAGGCAACTGTTCGGTGTAGTTGGAGGCAATGGCATTTTATTCATGGTTCACAAATATTTGCAAACATGTCCAGTGTTTATAGCTGATCCTGAATTCTAATTTACCAGCACATCGAAACCTTTTTGAAGACCTGTTATTTATTAGATGGAATATGCTCTTCATGGATATATGCTAGAGATGGACATCCGTCAGTGGGGACACGTATCAGTCACCACCGATCTGGCATCAACATAAATGTTTCCAAATGTGTCTAACATCATTTCAGTTCTGTAAATCACAATCCTTTAGTATACAAGTGAGGATATTAGAGACGCACCTTCCATCTAATAGGCTTACATGCTCCCAACCTTTCGGGGTGTACAGAGTAAATCATTGGATTCGATTCCTAATTATGTATGTGATGATAGCAAAATGGAAGACTTAGGACGTCTTTCTAAACAAAATCCTTTACGTAATCATAACAAATATCTTCAAAAAGCAGGGTTCACTTTACAATTCTCACTTTATACCATTATGTTATTGTCAATTCAGTAAAAGGAAAACAAATTTTAAATGAGTCAATAACGGTATATTACTACGAAAATGTAAATTCAAATGCAATATCCAATAAATGACTATTATGAAC